AGGGAGTCCGGAAGAAAGAAAGACGGAGGGAAAGTAAGGAATAATAATGAAAGAGAACGAGGGAGAAGGCAACCGAAAGTGAGAAAAGGAGGGACATTGGTTACATTCAGCTTCCTCTCTCCCTACCTCTTCCCCTCCCCCTCCCCTCCCCATTTACTTTCCGAAGTTCAAGGTTAATTTCGTGTGAAAGATGTCTTCTGCGTCCACTTGCACTGCGCACAATAAATCAGAACGTTTGCATGTGTGTGTGTGTGTGTGTGTGTGTGTGTGTGTGTGTGTGTGTGTGTGTGTGTGTGTGTGTGTGTGTGTGTGTGTGTGTGTTGTGTGAGTGAGTGAGTGAGTGAGTGAGTGAGTGAGTGAGTGAGTGAGTGAGTGAGAGTGAGAGAGAGAGAGAGAGAGAGAGAGAGAGAGAGAGAGAGAGAGAGAGAGAGAGAGAGAGAGAGAGAGAGAGAGAGAGAGAGAGAGAGAGAGAGAACACGAGGAGAACAAAAAAAAAAAAAAAAAAGAGACAAATGGAACGAAAACAAGAAAGAGAAATACAAAGAGAGAGATCAATAAAACAAACAAGCCCGTACCGATGAGAAAAAACGCATGCAAATAACCCAAGGAAATAAGCAAGCAGACGAACCTCACAAACATTCATACCTCCCGGGCTTGCACGCGGAACACACCACATACAATAACACATCCACACATCCATCTCACAACAGCTAATCTTTCCCAACTCCAGCCAAGTGTAATATTTTCCCATTCTTTACCTTAACACATCCATCTCAGAACAGCTGATCTTTCCCAACTCCAGCCAAGTGTAATATTTTCCCATTCTTTACCTTAACACATCCACTCATCCATCTCAGAACAGCTGATCTTTTCCAACTCCAGCCAAGTGTACATCCTTTCCCATTCTTTACCTTAACTCATCCACTCATCCATATCAGAACAGCTGATTTTTTCTCAACTCCAGCCGTGTACATTTTTTCCCACTCCTTACCTTAACACATCCACACATCCATCTCAGAACAGCTGATCTTTCCCAACTCCAGCCAAGTGTACATCCTTTCCCATTCTTTACCTTAGCACATCCACTCATCCATATCAGAACAGCTAATCTTTCCTAACTCGAGCTAGCCCCAAAGTGTAATCTTTTCCCATTCTTTACCTTAACACATCCACACATGCATCTCAGAACAGCTGATCTTTTCCCAACTCCAGCCAAGTGTAATCCTTTCCCATTCTTTACCTGAACACATCCACACATGCATCTTAGAACAGCTGATCTTTTCCAGCTCCAGCCTATTGTACATCTTTTCCTACTCCTTACATTAACACATCCACACATCCATCTCACAACAGCTGATCTTTTCCGAACTCCAGCCAAGTGTACATCCTTTCCCATTCTTTACCTGAACCTGCACCTTCACTCTTCGCAAACAGGCTGTCGCAGTTTTCCACGAACCTGCAGGAGGAAAAACAATGCATTATTAATCGTCTCGCAACAGGGAGCGTATGCGGGGAAAGAAGTTAAAGCGAGGCTGATGAGCGAGCAAACATTGAACCCAAATTACGTATGCATATAAAAACACGGGGAAAGGAGCAAATGTTTGTTCGCTTTTTTTTTTTTTTTTTTTTTTTTTTTTTTTTTTTTTTGGGGGGGGGGGGGTATTTATGACCTTGCTCTACGGTCTTGTTCTCTCAGTCTCTCTCTCCCTCCCTCCTTCTCTCTTACAGTCACTCTCTCTCTCTCCTCCCCTTCCCCCTCTCTCTCCGGTTCCCCCCTCCTCTATTTACATTTACTCCGTTTCAATAAATGAATGAATGAATGAATGAGTGAGAGTGAAAGCTCATTTCCACCACATTTAGACCATGTGGTGGAAATGAGGAAAACGAGCGAATGAAGGAAGAGAAGAAGGAAGAACAACAACTAAGCAGTAAACAGAAAATACGAAAAAAACAAGAGTGCAAAATATATAATAAAAATGAATGAAAAAAAAACAAGTAAGAAATATAAACATGAATAGATAATCAAGAGAAAAACTCAAAACAACTTAAAAATACGAAAATATAAGCACAAATTAACAAAAATAAATACATAAAGTGTCATTCTCCTCCTCCTCCTCTTTAGACACCCGATCCCTTTCCAGGTCAAAGTTAAGGTCCAAAAGGTCGCACTCAGAACACAAAATCGGCGCCTTATTGTCACTTTCTCTCTCCTTTCTCTCTCTCTCTCTCTCTCTCTCTCTCTCTCTCTCTCTCTCTCTCTCTCTCTCTCTCCTCTCTCTCTCTCTCTCTCTCTCTCTCTCTCTCTCTCTTCCATCCACTTATTTCTTTTCTCTCTTTGCTTAATCTTTCTCTCTATCTTCTCTTCCCTGTTTCCCCCTTTATTTTCTCTCTCTTTCACACACACACTCTCTCTCTCTCACCCTTCTCTCTCATCTCCCTATGTTATCATTCTTAGCATAATCCTCTTCCTCCTCCCTTCCTCAATTCCTTCCTTCCTTTCCTCTCATTCTGTCATCGCTTCTCTCACTCCCCCTCTACGAAACCACCATTGAGCTCCAATAACAAGGGCCAATCACTCGAGGGGGGGGGGGGTAGATAGTTAACGAAAGAGGGGGGGGGTGATTTTTCCTTTATTTCTTTGGTCTTTATTTCTTTATTCTCCGTTCTTCGTCTTTCTTTTTTTCTTTTTCCCTTCTCCGTCTTGTCGCTCCGGTCTACATTATATATATATATATATATATATATATATATATATATATATATATATATATATTTATATACATTTCCTTCCTTTTCTTTTCCTCTCCTATTGTCTTTTCCTTTCTTTCTTCCTGTTGTCCACCTCCTTTTTCTCCTCTTCTTCTGCTGCTTCTACATTCCTTCTTTAAACCTCCTCTTCTCCATTTCATCAAAAAGTGACGAACTATTGAAATACAAACCATCGCCCAGGAAAAAAAAGAAGAAAAGAAAAAAAAGCTTAATGGATACAACCTCTAAATAAGACAAACAGATCAGTTGCTATGGTAACCGCTTACTCAAACAAAACCTTTTGGAATGGTTTTCTCCTGAATTGCCAAATATCACCGATTATCAGTATCATTGCTGTTGCCATTGTCATTATTATTACCATTATGATTATTACTATCATTATCAGTACTATTATTATGATCATGATTATTGATATCATTCTCATTTGTATCATTATTATCATCCTCATCCTCATTATCATTATCATCATCACCATCATAATTACTATCATCCTCATCAAAACTATCAATATCATCATCATCCTCATCACTATTATCCTCATCATCATAATTACTATTATCCTCATCATCACTATCAATATCATCCACATCCTCATTACAGTTATCCCCATCATCACTATTATCATCATCATAATTACTATTACCCTCATCATCACAATCATCACCACCACCATCACCACTTTTCCCAATGTCATCACCACCATCCTCCTCCGTCTCCATTCGCCTCCCCGCCGCATCCTCGTCAACTTATCAAACGAGTGTGGATAAACAAATCTGGATAAACAAACGAAGAACGAGGAACGAATCAGAAATGCAAAGGCCATTCACGAAAAGACAAGCGCTCGTGATTAAATACAAATACACCGATGAATGGAAATAAGCAAAGGTAAAACAAGCGTAACTTGATTCACAACTTGATTCACAACTCGGAGCGCGCATACCCCAGCCAAGGTAGGGGGTCACCGGTGCAATAAAATTAGTCCCTCTTGAAGAATAACATTAAAATCGTCTCTGTCAAGCACACGTGACGTCCGTGATTCTCTATCTCGCAATGCTAGTGAATCATAAAAAATCTGTTCACAACTTTCTGAGTCAGCCCGTAAACCAACAAACTAACCAACGCTACAAAGAACATACTCTACCTTGGTAATGATAATAATAAAAATAATAATAGTAATAATGATAACCAAAAAATTAAAAAAATAACAATAACAACAACAACAATAATAACAAGAAAATGGTGCCCCTCTTAAACGCCGCCACATCACCATAACAACATTTCATATCAACCGCATTTACCACGGGGAATGACCGCCATACAAGCCAATTTACTCTCGTCTCCCTTCCCCTTAACTCCCTCCTCCCTCACCCCCCCCCCTCATCATCCCCGCCCTATATGGAGAATAACTCGTCTTCGCGTCAAGGCTTCCTAAGGGGCAATGATGGCCCCGTTTTCAACTTACCTTCCCATGGGGCTTAGGGAAGGGGGCTAGGGGAGGGAGGGAAGCAGGGAGAGAGGTTTGGGGATTGGTTAATGGGGTGGGGGTTGGGGGTGAGGGAGGGGGGTAGAGGTAGGTTAGTGAAGGTGGGCTTGAAGGGGGTTGGGTTTGAGGTGGGTTGGAAGAGGGGGGGGCTGAGGGAAGGGGGTAGGGAGGGGGTTAGTGAGGGTGGCTAAAGAGATGGAGGGAGGGGTAGATGAGGAGCGGTGGAGGGGTAGATGAGGAGCGGGGGAGGGGAGGGGAGGGGTAGATGAGGAGCGGGGGAGGGGAGGGGAGGGGTAGATGAGGAGAGGGGGGAGGGAGGGGAAGGGAGAGGGGAGGGGAGGGGGGGGAGGGTAGATGAGGAGCAGGGTAGATGAGGAGCGGGGGAGGGTAAATGAGGAGCGGGGGAGGGGAGGGGAGGGAGGGGAGGGGTAGATGAGAGAGCGGGGGAGGGGGAGGGGAGGGAAGGGAGGAGAGGAAGGTCGGCTTTGATCAGCCTTTGATGCGAGTTACCCTTCGAAGTTACCGTATTCCGTTACTCCATTTACATCCATCAAAGAGAATTCGTTCCCGAACTCAAAACACTTTAAAAGTTGACCCATTTCAAACGATCGCTTACCAAAAAAAAAGAAGAAAAAAAGAAAAAGAAAAGAAAAAAAGAAAGAAAAAAAAGAGAAAAAAAAGTACTCGACGTCTCCTCATTTCAAAGAACAGTCAACATGAAATAGCAACTCTGACCGACATACATCACTCATGGGAAGGTCATATCAGACATTAATCTACTCATGACAAATGTGTGCGATCGAGAAATTGAAGGTAAACTGTGTTCGGTCACATGTGGGGCCTTACCGAAGTGTGTTTGTTTACAAGTTGACAAATCTACGGATTGCAAACATTTTCGGGAGATAGATTGTGATAGGAGAGAGAGAGAGAGAGAGAGAGAGAGAGAGAGAGAGAGAGAGAGAGAGAGAGAGAGAGAGAGAGAGAGAGAGAGAGAGAGAGAGAGAGAGAGAGAGAGAGAGAGAGAGAGAGAGTAAAGACAAAATCAACATACAGTAAACGAAATAGGCCTAATGACAATTAACTACGCCTAACTAACCATTACCTGATTTCATCAAAGGGAATAACCGATAAATTGGACCTAGAATAATACAAGACATTTCTCCTCGCGGACGCCACTGCGCGCGCACAGAGGAGCCCGGCCTAAAACGTTCTCGCCATTTCCCGCCGAAAAAAAATATCCGGAGCGCAAAATTACGATAGAAACCTTGTTTATATTTTTCTAAATGGAGCTAAAAACACCCTCCATCTCCCCCTAAATCATCAATCTATCTCATATACCGATTTCCAGGGTCGAGAGAGAGAGAGAGGGAAGATGGGCCCAATTTTCCCTTCGCTGGGGGAAAAAAGAAGGGTTTGGTCCCGCGGTCGCTCTTGTGTGTTCCCTTGAGGCCACGCTCCAGTGGCTGCCTGGCTGAGGAGAGAGGGCTGAGCAGTCCCTGTTGCATTGCCTATTTATCTGCCGTGTTTACCATTTTCTCTTTAAATCTATTCTCCAATTTATCTCCCTCCCCTTTACTCCCACTATTCGCACCTCCCTCCCCCTCCCACCCCCTTAGCCCCTCAAGTCCCAACTTCCCCTCCCTACCTTACCCTCTCAACTCCCCTCTCAACCCCTAACCCCCCCACTTCCTTCCTCACCCCAACCCCCTTAACAACCCTCTCAACTCTCCCTCTCCCATCCCTTAACCCTCTCAACTCCATCCCCTCCCCTCCCACACAACACCCCCCAAGCCACCCCCCCCCCGCCCTGGAGTCAATAGAAAGCCAAAGACGCTTCTCACCTTCCAGCGCCATCTATTAACAGGCCGTTCAACTGCCAATTACTCGTAACAGCGCCTTGCGAGTCCGTTGTTCCGACGAGTGGAAACTGCTCGTAAAATACACGCTGAACAAAAAAGATAAATTGTTCAACCTCCTTTCGAAATACTTAGGTTAGAGAGAGAGAGAGAGAGAGAGAGAGAGAGAGAGAGAGAGAGAGAGAGAGAGAGAGAGAGAGAGAGAGAGAGAGAGAGAGAGAGAGAGAGAGAGAGAGAGAGAGGGGGGGGGGGAGAGGAGAGAGGAGAGAGGAGACAGGAGAGAGAGAGAGAAGAGAAGAGAAGAGAGGAGAGAGAGAAGAGAGAGAGAGAGAGAAAGAGAGACAGAAAACAGCACAGATGAAAGCGTGAAAATAAAGTATTTGCAATGAATAAGACACAAAACGCCGTGGAATAAAACAGACGAAACTTTAAAAAATCTAATAATCAAAACCCCCACATTAATAAACCTTTCTTCCAAACACCACGGGATAAACATACGAATAAAAACCGAGGGCAAACGTTTACAAAATGCAACCCACAAAAATCTGATAATCGAATATTCAAATAAAGGTATAAAAGACCACCCAACCGGAGAAATGGCGGCCGGGATTTAGCGCACAAACACACGCACACATTCACACACGCACGCACGTAAGTACACACACACACACTACACACGCAACACACACACACATACACGCACGCACACAACACACACGTACATACACACGCGCACACACATACGCATACACACGCACACACACACACACACACACACACACACACACACACACACTACACAGACACACACACACACACACACACACAACACACACACACACACAACACACACACCACACACACGCACGCACACCACTGTGTGCAAAAGTGAAGCCAAACGCGAAATGCGAAATGGATGGAATAAATTACCGATCCGGCGAATGCAAAAGGGAGTCACGGCAACCCGAGGCTGTCACGGCGCCGCGAAAGAGCCAGGTCAAGCGAGGTCACAGCAGTTCGTTAGGTTCTCTCTTTTAAAAGGTCACGGGTTTTACGGCTGGTGTAAAAATGTTAACAGGGGAGAGGGAGGAGAGGGAGGTGGGGGAGAGGGAGGGGAGGAGGTGGGGGAGGGGAGGAGGAGGTGGGAGAGGGAGGGGGAGCAGGTAAACCTACAAGTTGGAAAGGGGGAGGAGAGGGAGGGGGAGCAGTTAAATTACAAGTCGGGAAGGGGGAAGAGGGAGGAGGAGATAAAACTCGTTATTCCTAAAACTAGGAATAAAGAGGTAAAAAAAGAGATATATATATATATGCAAGTCTAGGCTTATCAGATCGTAAAAAGGAATATTGGGAAACAGGTATTCGTGATCTGCCGATATCACGCGTTAGTGCGACCTTTAATGATTGGAGGAAGATAGGTAGAGATACGGAGAGAGGCAGAGAAAGAGGAGAAAGGAGAGAGGAGGGAGGGAGAATGGAGAAGGGAATGAAAACGGAAGCAGAGAAGGAGAGAGGGAGGGAGGGACGCAGAACCAATCAATCATTTCGTGACGCCAAATCATGGAACGACTTTTGCGACTGCACGAAGGAATCTTAATTGCAAAAATGAAAAGGTTAACACAAAGCTTTCTCTGTTTATAGTTCTCCTTCTCTCTCTCTCCTCTCTTTACCCTCCATCCTCGCTCCTCTCTTTATGTCTCTCTATGATCTCTCTCTCCTCTCTTCTCTCTCTCTCTCTTCTCTCTCTCTCTCTCTCTCTCTCTCTCGTTCTCTTCTCTCTCATCATCTCTCTCTCTCTCTCTCTCTTCTCTCTCTCTCCTCTCGTCTCCTCTCCCTCCTCCCTCATCTCTCTCTCCCTCCCTCGCTGCCCTCTCTCTCTTTCTCTCTCTCTCCTCCCTCCCTATCTCCTCCTCCCCTCCCTCCTCTCTCCTCTCCTTCCCTCTCTCTCTCCTCCTCCTCCTCTCCTCTCTCTCTCTCTCTCCTCCCTCCCTCTCTGTCTGCCTCCTCTCTCTCTCTTCTCTCCTCCCTCCTCTCTCCCTCCCCCCTCCCTCCCTCCCTCCTCCCTTCTCCTCCTCGTCTCTCCCCCCTCCTCTCCCTCCCGTCTCTCTCCCCTCGCTTTTCTCTCCGCTCCCTCTCTCTCTCCCCCCTCTTCCCTCCCTCCCTCTTCCCCTCCCTCCTCTCTCCCTCCCTTCCTCCCTCCCTGTCTGCCCGTCTCTTTCTCCCTCCCCCCGCCCCCGACCGGCGCGGCAACGAATCTTGCGCAAGAGGCCTCAAGGGCGGCACCGAAGGGCACCGCCAATGCCTGGGGCGACAGCGCAGTCAATCCTTCATGCTTCTTACGGCTCCCGATCTCCCTCGCCGGAAATATATTCAGCGCACGGACACGCCAAGAAGAAAGAAGAAAGAAGTGGTGGAAGAAGAAGAAGAAGAGATGTAAAGGTGGAAGAAGGTAGAACAAGAAGTAGATGTGGAAGAAGACGTGAGGAGAGGTGGGAAGAAGAAGAGGAAGAGGAAGAAGAAAAAGAAGAAAAAACAACAAGAAGAAAAAAGGAAGTAGAGGCGCAAGAAAAAAAGGGAGAAGAAGAAAGAAGACGAGAGCTGTACATTTACTCGCTTTAACCTTCCCTAATGTTTGATTATAAAATGCCGTACACGCGGCCTCCGGTGCCAGGGGGCGTGGCTTCCTCCCTCGAGCGCCGTCACGCCTAAAACATCTAGATACCACGATCGCCTTTTACCGAAATGAATAAAAATCCACGAGAGAAAGAACGAGAAAGGTCCCCTCGACGAAAAAAGAGACAAGAACGAAGGGGCTGATTCGCATTAATTGTAGATCGTGAGAAAGAGAACAGGTGGTCCCGTGGTCTCCACTACATCCCCTTAAAAAAAATCTGTGCCTCCTGCGAATGCGTCTTGTGGCTGTTGCGTAATTTATGCTGCTGACGGCATAAGGCATATCCCTCTACCCCCCCCTCCCTCCCACCAACACACACACACACGTCTTCCTCAACTCTTTCTCGCTATCACCTTCTTCCCTCTCTCCCCTCCCTTTCTCTTCTCTCTCTCTCTCTCTCTCTCTCTCACTCTCTCACTCCCCTACTACTACTACCATTCTTTCCCCTCCTCCCTCTTCATTCTTCTCCTTCCTCCACCCTCTCACCACCCACCTACCCTTCTTCCTTTCCTCCCTTCCTCCCTTCCTTTCTCTCTTTTCCCTCCTCCTCTCCCACTCTCTCCTTCCTTCTCCCCCTCTTCCTTCCTTCCCCACCTCTCTTCTTCACCCACTCACCCTCCTTCCTTCCTCCTTCCCCCTTCCTTTCTCTCTTTCCCTCCCTCCTCACCCTCTCCTTCCTATCACAAATACAATATCACCCACCCTCCTTTCCTTCCTTTCTTCCTCCTCCTCCCCCTTCCTTTCTCTCTTCTCCCTCCTCTTCTCCACAGTCCCTCAAACCCCGCGGAGGCTGTGGTCGCCTTTCACTGGCCACTTTTATTAGAGTATGTCCACCGCCTTCCCCACTCTTTCTCTTTGTCTCTCTCTTTCTCCTTCTCTGTCTTCTGTCTCCTCTCTCTCTCTCTCTCTTCTCTCTCTCTCTATTTTCTCTTTTCTTCCTCTCTCTCTTTCCTTTTTCTTTCTGTCTCTCTCTCGTAACATTTTCATGGCGATTACTTCATCTCTTATTCACGCCTTCCTCTCGTTTCTTCCTTGTCTTTCCTTACTTCCCCCCTACTTCCTTGTACATTTCCTCCAATTTTGCCTCTCCTTCCCTTTCTCTCTCGTCATCATCATCCACGTTTTTTCTTCTTTGTTTTGCTCTATTTTACCCTTTTTAGGGCAGATTACGTAAATAAATCCGTCGCGCCATAAGGCAAACACAGGACAAAAAGAGAAACAGAAGAAAGAAAGAAAGAAAGAAGAAAAAAACAGCTGATTTGAATAGGGTTTCGTCCGGAACTTACAAGACACAAATATGGGCACCCTTTTTTCTTCATTTTCTTTTTCTGTTCAAAATTTCAAACATCTTTCTGTTTGGGAATGCCTGAAATTATGGGAGGAAAAAAAATAACATCGCGGATAAGGAAATAAATAAAAAACGATCAGGGAAAAAAACCCTGAATTAAAAAGCCGAAAACCGAGATTCTACTTCCACGCGTATCCATTTCCCACGTACCTGCTCATTAATTCTTTTTGGACCACGCCATTCCTTTTTTTTTTAATTTCTTACGCTTCTTTTTTTTTCTTTCTTTCTTTCTCCCATCCCCTTCCCCAAAAAATGAATAAAATAAATAGTGTCATAAACCTAGCGCCTGGAGCCTATTATCAATTATTAACATGACGCAGCCAGGAGAGTTTTAGTCCTGGGAGGAAAGGAAGGAAAGGCGAGGGGG